AGATGTTGTTTTCCTCTGATAACCGCACTCAACACCGATCGGTAAATATTCAAGATTCGGGGATGCGTATCAGGTAGACCACATACTGATCCGAGCTGTTTATTTAATACGAACTTCGGGAAAATACCGGTCGCCCTGCAACGTCGAAGAAACACGAGGGATTGTCGGGTAAGAATCAATTTTTGTCGTAATGATAATGCTTCCCTCAATAGGCGAAATACATTTGACGGTATATCTTGTAGCAATGTCCAAGTTCGCCTTTCTTGAAACCTTGGCATGTCCAGATAATTGAAAGTTTTTCTGTGCCGAACAGGTTTTTTATAGTGAAGCGTTTATTGCCGACGTTTCGACTAGCTCGTCGTCTTCAAGGCCTGAAGGAAGCATTTCGAAGATTCTCAAATGAAACTGATCCTAGTGAGTGAGCGTTGAGTAGGATAAGTTTCATTTGAGAATCTTCGAAATGCTTCCTTCAGGCCTTGAAGACGACGAGCTAGTCGAAACGTCGGCAATAAACGCTTCACTATAAAAAACCTGTTTGGCACAGAAAAACTTTCAATTATCTGGACATGCCAAGGTTTCAAGAAAGGCGAACTTGGACATTGCTACAAGAAGTTACGAGAATTTCTTCTCACTGTGGCTATCTCACTGTGGCGCCCTCTACGTCCCCAATCCGACATGGCTCGCGAAAAACAGAACGAGCGAACAGAACGCATAATGGAATAACGAATTATAAACGCCTTCTGGCTCGTACGAACAGCTTTGGAAAAATGCAAAAGTTCGCTACCGGATTCGAACATAAATGACTTCTCCCCTATGGAGCAAGAGCGCTATCCATTGGACGGACTTGCCCACTGCGTTGAATGCTCTGCGGCTCTTCATGCGAGCCGAGTGGGACAGGGAATGTACCGCCACCGTGAGATAGCTACAGTGAGAAGAATCCCCGTAACTCAGTTTAGGGAACGTTCCGCAAATACCAAAAGAAGATTTGAGCTTAGCGTCACAAGACGCGGCAACGGACTACCCCTCATTACCATTGGCCGGACTGACCGATTGACCATTCCTTGTAAGCTGAAACTGACTGCTCCCAACTTAGTACTAACACATTGACGACAACGCGGGGGATATAAATCCCGCGCATTGTAGGCCAAGTCGGACTGTGCGGGATATACATATATCCCCTGCACCCAGTGCATTCATTTTTTTCGTGCACACCTGATTCTTTCAGAAGTTTCTTTTTTTATTCCATGGGAGAGACGTGATCGTAGCTACATTATAGTGGCTCATGGAACGGTCACGTATGCTTTGATTCAGAGGCGAGATTCTGAACCATCCGAAATCTTCAGTCTGATAAATTTTTCGCTAACTTTTTCTCTTTATGGATGTGAAGATCTAACTTTTAGCAGAAGTAGATATGGAACCGTAGTGATGACAATATGTGAGTTTTAATTGGAAGAATAAACGTAAAATTGCTTTTGGGGTTCACTGCAGCTAGTAGTTCTGACCAATTGCGCCTTTTCATTGTTACTCCATGTCTTTCGATCGAAATTTCACTACTGTATCCTTGAGTGGGTTGTGCTCATTACAATTTACTGATCTTGTCTTGTATGGATCATTATTTATGCATTTATCACTCAAATCTGCTTGAACGACCTGAGGCGGCCGCACGCGCAAAATCGCCCCAGTCCCACGTGGCCAAAGAAGCCAAAACTCGCATTGTCGTCAACATGTTAAAAAGCACACCCCAACCTATTAATATGCGTTATAATTGCTTTCTGCACAGAGGACATCATTAGAATTTGCCATGGGGAACCTTGTGCACGGTTTAAGCTCAACTGGTCCTCGACGGATCATTTATCATTAGGACGTCATCTGAAACGCTGGACAAAAGCGAACTTGCATACACACAGATGGTATCTCTGAAAAGCTATTCACTGATTAACAGATTGGAGAAATTATGAGAAATTATGTAGGAGCTTCAAGCTGAAGCGATTAGGGAAGGCCTTCTTGAGCTCAACAATGGTGGAAGATGACGTCATATTTTGAGGACGGTGAGTGCAGTGGAGGAGGGCCTGCTCGTACTTATGGGACGACACCTGGGGAATATTTTGAAATAAAATTTTCATCAACGACTGCAACCTGTGCGTCGAAAAGTCAGATGATGTGCTCCATGTGCAAAGTGTCGCTTTTTTAGGCTACCCCTGTAGATCTCCCTAGACACCATGGTCGTCATGGCAGAGTCAAGAAAAGGAAGTTTTCGACGAGTATCATGAGCATCTTCTGGAGCAAACAGTTTGATCATGCAGTCAAAGTGTGTGTTCGAACACCCAGAGAATGTGCACAAATGTGTTGTCCCGTTCACAATCATACGAACGGCATTTATGTTAAAATGTTATACCATCTTTGCTTTCCGAGCAGAAACGGTTCCTGAAATAGAGCCTCGATGATGTTAAGCGTACTGTGTAGGCAAACCATAGACGCCACAAAATGTTGAAACACACATGTTTTTGAAATGGCGCTCATCACGTGGAACGGAGTTATGCTTCGGTAGGTGCTATTGTAAATGTCCTGAAAAATTTTGAAAGTATTTCAGGCTTGTGGTGCTGTGCTTGCATGAACTGCTTGGTGTTAGTTATTAATCGATTACTAGATCTCTGGAGTAAAAACGTTATGCAATTGGTGGGTTCCGCTGTCAGTTTTTTGTTCTTCTCCTTGAAGTGAGGGATTCCAATGAGATTCCGTTATCTAGAAAACCACAGAAGTAGCCAGCTGTTCGTTAGCTCATTTCGACATGACTACATCGAAATGAGTTAACGAAGAGCTGGAGGCTGTCACACTGCTTATATGCATGTGTTGTACATTGTGCTTCATGATTATAAGCTCACCATCAAACTTTGCATTTCCAGAAAAACAGTCACTTAGGAATTCTTCTAGTTTCGTCGACGGATCCCCCAGCACGATGTGTCAAGGCTCACTTGATACAAGAAAAACCACAATTCTCAGCGTAGAACTTAGATGGAGATTTGCTAAAGCTAACCCTCCGTCACAATGGCACCATACGCCTTGAGTCTTATCGAGATTGTTTTTTTTCTGAATCTGGAAGGTGAATTCGTGTAGTTTAGACGAGAAGAAGCGCTTTTGGTGTAACCTTTGAAGGCAGACCTTCCAGCTTAGTGCTCGTAATTTTGATTGAGAGAGTGCGAAAGTTTGGGATGCTTCCTGTAATGGTGTTATGATGGAAATTCCCTTAGTGGCCTGCAAAACGGACTCCACTGATCACCATCAAGTCTAGCAGCAAGATCTGATGCCTTTTCCATGCTTGTGGTGTCGTCTAAGCTACCTCTTTTGACAGGAAGATCTGCCATTCACGTGAGCCCCTAAGCGAAAGATTGGCTGCATTACGAAAACATAAGCGTCTTAGTGGCCAGCCTGCGGTCTGGACGTCCGTTCAATAAGAACGTGCAGGACACTCTCGCCAAAAAGGCTTACGCGATTGACTGCTACTTACAAAGTAGAGAAATTCTGGAACAGGTGGTCATTAAACCTTGAAACGGGTTCGCTCAAAAAAAGATTTGCAACTAGCTCCTAGTAGCCACAGAGGTCATTCGATATCACACTTCAACAAGTCAGGGTCATAGATTACTAGCTCTCTCACGCGTGTCAATAATATAAATAAATTGTTCATTTTCTTAGGGTGAGCTTATAATTATGAAAGATGTAAAGTTAATAAACAATCATAAAAAGTTGAGAACACTGATGCCAGTGCCATAATCCGGATGCGGGGGTTATTTGTGCTGGGAAATCCGTTGATGAAAAACTAGGAGTCCTAAGTGAATGCTTTTCCTGAGAATTTTGAAAATTTGTGGGTGAACTTAAAACTATGAAACGCAGTGTATGCGATGTATTCTCTCACTTACTGTGGTGAAGTCGGCGGTCCTCCTTGAGAGGAACAGCTTTCATCATGGAAAAAGTGTGGAGGGTCGTTGTAGAACTTTGGGAAAAAATTTGGAAAGCTGTCATCGGAGTTCTCCTCAGTAGCGTGCAGTGTTCAAGCTTTCAACCGAGGGTGTCTTACATGTATGATTACTGTATTCAGCTGTTCAAAGGGAATCGTACATTCATTGTTCTCTTGGTTCCTCTTTTCTATTTTCTCTATTTCACGCTATTTACACCTCCTGTTATTTTCAATTCGGATCGCATGGCATGGTTTTTTGCTACGTTCGCTGATGGTCACGATATCAATAAGGTGAGCCTCCAATAACGCTTCACAAAAAGTTGCTCCAGTCAAAAATTGCATGAACAGCCCAAAACATCAGAGAAAGAAGAGGTCAGTGTCTCTGCAAGTAGTCATGATTAGAAAGTCATTGGCTGAAGAATGGTGGTAATGTTACAAAACAGTTAGCAGCATGGGGATAGACCAGTAAGTGGAGGAGATAAGTTAAGTCCATGCAAGGCTGATGGAGCTAGAAGCACTCTCGGCGTCTCAAGCGCTTACCAGCGGCTCAGTGGTCCAGAACATTCACGACATTCATGTTCTTTTTTTCCGAACGGTCAAACAATAAGTTGTATTCTAAAGCCACAATATTCAACGCCTACACTTCTGAGGCTTCACCTGGGCGTAGATCGGTCTTCTTTTTTCTATCTATAGTTATTACTTGTCGCCTTGTTGATGACCGAAACATTCTAGAGTGGACTCGACCGTTAAATATAAAGTGAATCATCCGCGTTCAGTAATATAAATTAATTATTTCTCGCTTTCCACTCATTCTGCGAGCATCACGTCCATGGAAATAGTTGTAATTGCAAATGTTGCTTTGCCGTTTTAGTAGCTTGCAGGCGGTATCGCTACGAGATGCGCAACTTAATCTGAACTACAGCTGTAGTCGCACTTAAATTTCACTTGTTGAAGTTTTGCGACTTCGCCCTGCCTTTTGAGGTGCTACCTTTTCCACGTTTGTATTATACATGTATTATACACGTATTATATATACTTTTTGTATGTAGAAGTTGCCTGCCTAACGCTGCCTCTTGCAGCTACTGGAGAGATTTTATTGACAACTGTGACATAAAATGTAATCTGAACATTAATCTTTTATTCTCACTATATTTGAAAGTTGTGAATTACTCGGTGGTCAAAACTACTAGTAATTCCGAACTCACTTACACTGCTCTATTGCACTCCATTTTTAGTTCTTCAATTACCCTCACACTGCCAATAACCTACTTATCGTGCTTCTCACCTGTCTATTGTATGTGCAGTACTCTCGAGTTTTATTCCGTCACTCAAAGGGAAGTACTGGCCTCACATGGGCACAGAAATCAGTGAGTTTTCCCACATTGTCTACATTTCCCAACATCTTCAGAGCAATAATGAGTACGCCTCGAGCGAGTCGTGCCTTGGCTCTCTAAAAATTTTTGTGACGACATCCGTCTTGGTGACCTTATCATTGGATATACAAGAGCGAAAAAAATGCTTCTGCTAAGTGCTAAATGCTATGCAGTGAAACGTTTTAAGGGGCGTAGGTAATAACGTACCGCATGTGCTGGCGTCGATTCTTTCATGCAGCTCCTGTTTAAAGATCACGCTCATCCTACTTCACCAAATTCATTACATGTCTCGTCTGCTGGATGGAGAAAGCGTTTGAGTGTTGGGCGATACTAACGACAACTTCGCTGTGCTTAATTTGAGGCGAAAAATTACCAGAAGCGAAGGGGCGACAGTGCTAACGTCAGTTCCGCGAGGTAGTTCGAAAACTGCATGAGCGATGTAGTCGACGTCACTTTCGGAAGGTTTCTGCAAAATTTTCGGGTAGCCACACCATCTACCGCTCTGGAATGCTGATAAGAGAAGGCGCTACGGAGCATCCCACGTTAACATGAAATGTGGTAGCGAGCACATTCAGAAGTGGTACCCCACCATATGAACCATTAATTTGTATGTCGATCGAGCTTCCTATCGGTGCCAATGGTTCGGTGTGTCTATCTATATGAACACCCACGGAGCACAGTTTTGACCATTCTCCATGGATTGTCGCTGTAATTGAAGGGGAGTGGAGGAAGACGGATAAACCGGGCACCAACAAACTCGAGATTTACCAATAAAAGCAACATCAAACCGCAGATCCATTATTGAGGTTTTATTTGACGTGATCTCATCGTTGCGATGCTCCACCATATGGGTTAGTATTTTAGTTAGCATTTCAGTATTAGTGCAAAGTGCCGATCTCAACAGTGCAAAAGGTGTGCAGCACGCATGGTAAAGCTTTGTCATCCGAAGAAACGCAGAAGATGAGAAATCCTACCGGCTGTCGGAGGGCTATTTTGATAAACCATTAAATGATGTAGTGGAGAGTGATGTCGATGGTTGTTACGCTAATTTAAAAGGTAACCATTCAGTTTTTCTTGCAAACGTCATCAATCTGCATATCAAATCTTATTGCGGCACTGATCTATGTATACATGAACTTCTTCCCAACACCGGCGTATTTCGTGGTGATAGGACATATTTGTTGGCAACTGGGACATGGTACGGTAACTATTTTGTATGAAAATTAGTTTTGAAAGCACACGTAGTAAATACAGAAGCCTACACAAATGCAAAAAAGCGAGCTCAACTCAAAAGTGTAATTGTCAGAGATTTTTGGAAGCCTGTTTGCGCTGCTTCTGTGTGAAGGCCTGCTGTTTACGGCCTGGGTCGCGATCGATTGGGTGTACTATTTTACAGAGTCAGACAAGATGTGCGAAGGAATGACAGTGGAGAAAGCACAACAACGCCACAGGAACCATTGATTCGAAACACGATTTCTCCTGTAAGGTTGACGGTGCTACGACGGAGAGACGGAGGAGAGAAAACGCGAAAGCGCAAGTCGTGAAGAGAACGCCACGTATGCTGCTTTTGACGAGCGTGACAGCGGCCGCAACGGCCAAGCGAATATATTAGGTCCCACTTTGCGTAAGGTCGCGACAGAACCATCATCCCCGTGATTAGGGCTCAATCATCTCGGCCAGAGAGAGAACTCCTCTAACAACAGATACCTAATTTTGGCCCGCTCCTTCAAGACAAGTGGATCCGTTGAAATGACAAACTGGGACTATATCACATGTGGGATGCTTGATTCAGTCATTATCTACACGATCCGATCCTTCGCGGCTGGGGTTTCATAGCTACAAGGCGAAAGAAACCGCAATTGGCTTACTTTTTGTCGTGAATACATTACCATGCGTATTTGGCCTACTCAGTCGCTAAATATATAATATAAATTTGAATCAATTTACTTTATGCACTTTATCGTTTGATCGCTCATTGGAAGAAATGACAATCACGACTTCCGACAGCATGGAAAACATGTTTGCTTTGAAATGACATTCTCGGTCGACCACGGTCGCGGGGAGGAGGCCACTTCTGCCACTTGTCACTTACATATCAAAATGGGGCATCGAAAGGGTTGAAGCAGGGCATAATCAGCGAATGTAAGCTCTACAATGAGGTGAAGATATTGAATTGGCTACCCCTCAGGAATGCTTTATGCTATTTCGCCATTTTAGTGATGATTTGATTTTTATTACAGGTTTTCCCGCTTTTGTTTACCTGTTCTTGAATCGTACCATTCAACAGGAGGCTCTAATACTGCTAGGACTACGCCAAGGAACAAACTCGCTGAGACCTCTTGGTCTGACATCAACAAAAACGCTACCAAACCTTGAACTCTGAATGATATAAATTCACTCATCTCTGGGTCATATGTTGTATATGCGTATAATTCAGATATTATTGTGTATTATTTAGACATTTGTCGTTATAACAATATCCGCTCATCTTAGTCACTCTTTCTGTTTGTCGAGAGCTGTTGATTTCCCCTGTGACGTTTTGATGAGCCATTTTGGCTAACTTACCGCATGACTTCAACACTATAAACAAACGGTTGAGGAATTCATAAAAATATGTAGCGCAATGTAGTGGAACTCAAGAGTTAAAGGTAAGAGGGGAACGCTTGTTAGTGATTCTGAGCAACTGCACAGTAGTAGGGACCAAAAATCAATCCGCAAAAGGATTTTTTGCTATGAAAACGACGAAATGTCCCCAAAATTGTAACAGATTTCTATTTCCGAATCAGAGACTTATTCCGAAAAATGGGTCGTACATTATCCGAGAATGGTATTATTTTTGTTAAACTGAATATCGGGAGAACGTCAGATGTAGAATGCAATGCGAAATCCATTTTGGAGCGAAAAATTAGACAAATCGGATCATTAAAGCTGCCTAATGTCACCCGAGAAATCACCTCGTCTTTTTTGGGGAGACCATCAGGAGCAAACTGGAGCAATTCGTTGACATGGCCGATGAGGATTCGCACACGACGCCTGGTCAGACGCAAATTTAGGCAAATGTGTGTTGGGTCATTACCTTGCTAAAACATGTACCTTTTGGCAATAGATTGAGGAGCGTAAGCCTGCTGTTGTTTATAACCAGAACAGTCTTTCAGGGCATTGAGTGTTTTTTCAAAACGGTTTGTTGCATGTTATAGGGGCACCTGCATGGAGCATAAATATGTTAATCGTTTTATCTGAGCGGCCTCAGGATTGCCAGAAAAGGGGCAGAAATTTTTCTCGAGAAGTGAAACTTTGTCATTTTTAAAGGCAAAGGTCGGGCTCGATTTCGGGTATTATGACGCCTGAAACTGAGCTTAGAGGTGCGAAGTGGAACGACAGTGAAGAAAAAACGAAAAAAAACGTCAAGAAGGCTTAATACGGGACCAGGGTTAACCCTACGTTGTTACGAGTAACAACGGGGGAATCGTACCCTCTCGGTGGCGGACAGTGGAATTCTTCGTAATATCGGATAATAGCCAGCACGTTACGTTTTCGTAAGATGTCTGGTACTAGAGCATCTATAAACATACCTCTAAATGAGCTTCCGAATGAATCAGCGAATCAGAAGAGCGCTTGAGGCGTGGCCCGCACCAAGGTAAGGGATGCAGTGCAAGCGCATGCTCGATGCTTTCTAGCTTATCCTAAATTAAGCATAAAATTGGTCTTCCAAGAAGGTACGGGCAGTGAAACCTAGGAAAACTCGCGTTTCCGAGAAAAATTGAAGAATACCACTCAAAATAAAAAGTAACAACGGGACTAATTTTTGAACTGCTAATCTTTCAGGAACGCTTGGGCGCTCTTTAGAAAGCTTGAATCCTGTAGTTTATTATACTTGTCCAGCCTCTCAAATGAATGACTTTGAAGGAACTTATGATCGTTTAAAGATCAAAAAGTCGCACTTGCACAGAAAAAAGTAACAACGTACTAAATTTTTAGTAAATCAACTTTCGAAGATTTTTCACCCATGGTTGGAGAGAGAATGACTTGATTTTTCCAAATCAAATCACTTCGGCGCAAAAAGCTCGAAAATGAAGGAAGTTATAGCACTAGAAAGAGGAGTGTAAAAATCGTGTTTCAATTTTATTTTTGCCGAATAACTTATTCATTCCAAAGTGTTTGAGAACAAGTGAGCACTCGTTAGGAAGGAGGAGCCACATCGATACAAAATCTAAATCTTCCGAATTACCTGAAATGTAAAAAAAAAACTTCTCGAATTTTCACACTCCCCGCTCGACGCCTCTTGACCGTGAGCAAATGCGCTCCACCATCAGGAGGCTAGGGACATACGTAGCAATAAATAGTGATGGCAACACTGATTCTACACAAGTGTTACATACAAGGGGGGGGGTCGTATCAAATCACCCATGAAGGGGGAGGGTCGTGAAAAATTTCCAAAGAGTAACAACGATAGGGTTGACCCTGTACGGGACCCCCCTCTTCAACAGCAGCGAAGGAGGCGGGCGTAGCAGAGGGCAAAGTCCGGACGAGTTATCCGGACATTGGTGGCATCATGCCAGCATTTGATACGGGAATCAATACACCTTAGTCAGCTGATGTGTTATTGGTTTTTGGTTCGCTTTGGTTTTATTTTACTATTTCTTCACTTTCTTATTTTAATTTGATGTCGTCGATGATGTGATATCTTCATTCTTCATTTTCTTTACAAATGGAAAAGCATAAACACGACATGTTAAACACATAACATATCATACGCACATCACATATCATTACTCAGAAAAAAGATCATTGGGAATGAAGGCAACACACAAATATCTCTTCTCCAGAACAGCACGAACTCCTCCAATTTGTTTCATAATTGTAGCTAACTTCTGTATTTTGTCGAGACGCAACCATTCCTTCACGGCTCACATCTTAGCATGCAACGAATGACATTTAATATTTCGAAAATGAATCAGAGAATATTTAACACGTTGACGACCGCGCTATTTTTCGCTGTCTGGCGTGTGGGACGACGCGCATTATTTCGACCGCGCGAGTGTGACATGGCACCATGTCAAATGGTCCCACAAGAACTCCTTTTACTCAGGAAGTGTGTATTTGTTATCTTTCTTGTATGGTAGGTCTCCGATTATGCGATTTTGGCTATTTTAGCGATTCCTGTGATTTGATCATTATTCAAACATTTTTAGAAAAACTCGATAGCCCATCAACCGAAGCTTCTTTCCAGGGACCACGCCTTTTGTGACAATGCCTAAGTATGGTGCATACATCACGTAAATAAGTTACCTAAAATGTTTGAAAACCAGCTTAAAAAATACTGTGACATGACACCATGTCACACGGTCCCACGTGGCCGAAAGAGTGTGGTATGACATCATACCACATGGTCGTCAACGTGTTAAGAGATGTCAAATATGTGGACAGAAGAAGGAGAGATAAAACATGTATCCCCGTAGACGAGTTCAAGAACACAGCTTAACCACAACAACGGCGTTAAAAGCCCGGCTTTTTTCAGGTCGATAGACTCTTCATCGATAACCTTAAAATCAAAGGCGGAATTAAACCAGTGAATTATCATAATTCTACTAAAACTGAAGAGCATCGTACCCTATTCGGAAACGTAGTCATGAGCTGAAAAGCTGTAGCAGCCATGGATAAGCTCTAAACAATGATCCTTCATAAAAGTCGTGAATGATTTCAGAAATTTGAATACAAACATCGACACTTACGTGACACGAAAGTTCCTGATCGCTCCAACAGTGTGCGTTTGATGAATTTTCCACTCACACGTTGCCCATTTGATATACGAATTTGAATCATAAATTAGGTAAGGTTCGGAGATGATCTTCAAAAGAAACCAGCAGGTAAGATCTGATATGAACATACAAAATAATACAGCAATAAGTAATACAGCGCGCCTTATCTATACCACCATTTTGAAAAAAAAACAACGTTTTAGATAACCGAAAGATTACGAATAGAAAGACGTGAAAATAAAAGACGAATCTAAAAACCAATGGACTTTGTAGGAGCATGTTTTAAAAATTACAGAATTCTACAACGGTCAGCTCACTCACTCTCGGAATTACAGAATACAGAGAATTCTCGTATATGTTCACTTCCGCTTGTGCTTTTGCAACGTTATCCACGGAGTCTGAAAAGACCATATTAGGGATATGAAGACAGGTAACATGACGGAGGGAACACCAAACGAACCTTTGGTGGCAGACGAAGACACTGCCGGTGCCGACGACACAATTTGCGGTACAACAGCACCAAGACGTGCTCCAGCTCCCTTCAAACATACAATACAATGTGGAAATCACGAGAAATGTCTAGCATAATGGCACCGAATGTCTAAGCATGATGGCTTCAATCATAATCATAAGAAATAAAATAATCATAAGATCACACATAGACGGCAAAAGTAAGAACCGGCTCGTGCTTAGCACGACCAGCACAGCCGTGTTAGGCGTACCTAACACTTTGCAGTGAAGCAAGTCCACTAAAAACAGCAATTGCAAGAAAAGATAGTTGATTGGAACATTGAAATCGAAAAATAACAAAGCCCTCATGTGAACCAAATTCACCCACTCGTTCATCGTACTGGGGCTGCTTCACGTTCCAGTCGTGAGGAGCTAGTGGCTGATGCTCGGCATACACATCCTACCTAAACGTCGACGCTAATTTTTTGGTGCATAATGTTTTATTGTGAACGGTAGTTAACTCGATGCATCAAAAGAGAAACAAAAACCGCTAAGAAAACTCGGAAGATTTTGACAAAAAAATTCTAATACTAGAAAAGCTAGAAAGAAACAGAGAGAAGGAGCTATAAAAGTGAGTTTATCACCATCGCTGTCCCCATCCAATCCTCTATATCACATGTAGGAGACAAAGTTCTACTGTCACCGCGAAGGGCGCAACAAACAGGTAGTACCCACACTCTGACGTTCCTTATCATTCCTTACCAGTTGCTAGCACTTTCTATCACTCACCTTCTTGTCCGCGTCTCACCTCACATTAAATTCATTAGTGTGAACGTCCTAATGTCGATGTGGAGAGCGTGGCAAAACTGATGGCGTTGGTGTTCCTGTACCCATTATCATCTCTTATCACTTGCTATCAGTTTATCTCGCTCATCACTTGAGTCTGGGCCCCGACCCACATGATATTCATGAGTGCAAACTCCTGAACGTCGAAGCGGACGGCATAACCCAATAAGTGACATCGCCAAAGTGACGCCTGCTGTCACCTGCTTTGAGGATTACCACTTCCCGCTACCTATAATCAGTGTTCTGGTCCCTTATAAACCCTATAAGTTTGAGCGCTCTGTGGGCAAATTGAACGAAGTTATGAATTACCGGTCAGACAGACAAACACAAGCACACACACATAAACAAACACACGCACAAACGCTTAGCGGATTATATATGTAGTAGGAATGGAGTGCATGCATGTCATGGAAATTAGGTTAATTTTTTTCTGAACGACCCCTTACCAAAAAAGGAGCAAAAATGTTTGGTCCGGAAGTGACGTTTTTGTGGCCTTTAAATGATATTAAGAAAAAGCGGCATTGGCTAATTGCATATTAAAACGTTATCGTAGATTGAGCATTGAAAACTACACAAAAATTCGTCAAGAATGAGTTGCTGTGAATGATGTGAGCTGCAAGAACGATGGGAATTCTATAAGCGACGTTGCTTCGCAAAGTGGCTGAATGGTGTATTGGATAGCGATGTGGTCTCATATCTGCACGGCAGGGTGGAGATCATTGGCTTGACTCCTTTCCGCCATTGCCGCTTCGCATTTGGTACTGGCATTCATATTTTGGCGTCAAATGGGACCAGCACCAAAATGGATATCATGCTTGCCATTAGTGTCACCGATAACCCGTATAAAAGCGGTCACAAACACTGTTGAAAACGCTTCTGCCCAAAGTGGCTCCAAATGATCCCAGCGTCCGAAATAAAAACCATAGTCGTGGAAGCTGTGTTTAACCCTTATAGAAGTTTCGGTAATCGAGATTTCAACGTGACTTTGAAAAATTGGGCTCCTCGTAGTACAGTAGCCCGCCATGCTTCCGGCGAATGATATGGATATGAATTCCTAGTCACCCTATCCTGTCATTCTTCTCGGATTATGAGATATTCAATCCGGGATGAATGTAGTGGTATCCTGTAGTATCCTCTCAACCTACTCCTTATGGTTGGAAAACAGATGTGTTGACGAAGATGCAAGTTTCTATTAGTAAGGAGTACGTGTTTTAGCCCTAATCTCTAAAACTAGTGAGAGTTCTCAATAACTGGACCTGTTTTGAGGTTCAGGTCGTGATGCCGGATGTTGCGATTGTGTGCCGGTCGAAGCGTAACCATGAGCAAGTCGTACCGCTAGCTATCCTCTATCCAAGTAGGCCGTCTGCATGCCCTACTGACTATAACTTTACCCATAGCCCGATTTTGAAGTTGGGCCAGAATCAATATTTTTTCTAAAACTTTCCCTATTAGGTTAATCCAGTGCGGTGGTCATGAGATGTCCATTTTTGATGACGATGCTGTTTTGACCTCGTTAGGCACCATTTTGGCCCCGTTTGAGTACTATCCATTTTTCGCCTAAATTTCACTAAATCTGCTCAAAAAGGCTAATAATGATACTGTTCGCAAGAATTGCACCGACTTTCGCCGCTAGCTATAAGTGCAAAAATTTGTCCCCGGCCGGAGTCAATCCCTTGGTGAGTATTTTATTCCTTTCTCGGTAATTACAGGGCCGCACAGAAAAAATTTGACACAGTCCTGTGTTCCATGTACGTGACTCCATCAATTGCAAGAGACCATTTCGCAAAAGCGCTCCATATCCTGAAAAGCTTTCTTGGTCAGATCCGTATAATGCAGCAAAGCGAACCATAGTTCGGTATTCCATCGGTATACGTCTGTCGCAGAGCACTCTGGTAATCTCTCTTCACCTCTTCCATGCCATGCCTATTCTCACCCTTATCTCTTCGTCGAGACCTCCATTGGCTTGTAAGCTGGAACCCAGGTACCTGAAGCAGATGGTTTTTGGTAGATCCTTGCCAATAATTGGATAGTGCCCGCATCTTGAATAGTTTCCAGGTACTCGGTCTTCTTGAGAGACGGAGACCTGACTGTCTAACCAGGGAAGGTCACCAGGTCGGCCCGGCCATTGGCAGTGAGCTGACCGTTGACTCGCCTCGGGACGCTAAGCATGAAACTGCCTTCACTATCTGCTATGGTAAGCTGTTTTTTGAAGGGAGTGATAAAGAAAGAAAGCACAGCGATAGTGCTTTGGTTTTGCACGCAAGAGGTGATGGGAACGGTTCTTCAAGAAATCTGCTTTCTTGCCTTCCAATGTCAAGGTGTTAGAAAGCTTCGAAATTCGTTAATTTGTCAACACCTGCCATCGGTCTCCTGTATGAAGAGTTCGCGAGCAGTTCTCACAACCTATTGCCTACGAGACAGGGCACTACCGCTGCACTTTCTTGCTTTATAGCTCATTTCAAAAAATCGATTACCAGATCGAGAAACTTTGTGCTCGAAGTCTCGAGAGGAGTGCAAAGGTATGAAGCCCACGTTTTGCTAAAAACGGTCAACAGGCCAGTCTGGCATGATGACCGTTTCAAGTAAGAGATCGCGCCAGACCTGATTTCGCTGTTGTACTTCATCTGTACTGATGGCTGCGAGAACGTGTCGTCGGCAACCAGCAGATCCACAGAGTATCATTCTGCAAATCCCATGTGATTGTATCCAGGACGAGCACGAAAAGCAACGGTGACCGCGCTGATCTTTGATGAATGCCAACGTTTATCGGAAAGCTCTTGGAAGGCCAGCTGCACATCTGACTCAACTTGTGGTGCCCGCGTACAGCATTCGTATCCAACTGATGAGAACTTCTGACACTCTGTGTTCACGGAGCCCATACCATAACAGCTGGTGTGGAACGCGGTCAACCGCTTCTTCCAAGTCTAGGAAGCCTAGATGGAGATGCTTTATTTTCTATCGATGTTTTTCCAGAAGAATGCGAGCAGCGAAGATTACATCGGCTGTTCCAAAGCCCGTTACGAATCCACATTGATTGATGCTCAGCTCAACTGTGGCTCGAACTTGCTGATTGATTCGCTCAAAGATCTTCGTAGTATGCGACAACAGGGGAATTGAATGGCAATTTGAACATTCCGTGGGCTCCTTTATTTTTGGTGATTGGTATGCTGATACTGGAAGTCCATTAGTTTGGGGCGCGGCCAAAGGCGACGATTGCATTGAAAAATTGTGCCTGGGATCAGGGTCAACCCTCCGTTCGAACTGTTCGAACGAAGGGGTCGCATTTTGATCGGAAGGTGGTCGCAATCTCGAGCTGCCAGCCGCAGGCGCGTGCGCGGCGTATCCGAGGGCAAGAATTGTTTGTGCAGACCGCATTAGATTCGATTAATTATGCACAGAGAGTCAGTTTTAGGCAAATTACGATGTTTTCCTTGAGGAATAAAGAACAGTTGAATGCATCCCTATGAAAGGTTTGAATTGAATTGCCGTACAGCTTAAATAATAGCCTCTAGCTCGCGGGCCATCGTCGTGTATCGCTGAGGGTACACTGCAGTTGCTACAGTATAAACTCGATTTTGGTCTCGTTTGCAAGGGCGCCTACTTGTGCCACCGCTCTGGCATCAGAGAAAATATGGAAATGCATATCCTCATTGGAAAGCCCTAGAATTGGCTTTTGGATGAGGGCGTCACGCAATTCAACAAAAACACTCCTGGCGGTGTCCATTGACCTTTGGTGTCCTAACGAGCAAGCGATGTCAAGGGCTCAGCTATATTGGCAAAATTAGGTATGAACTCCCTGAAGAGTCCTACCATCCTAAGAAAGCGCTCTACTTCTCTTACATTGTGCGGAGCAGAGATCCCCGGACTGCGGTTGTATTCGCCTCCGCCGGGAAGTAGCTGTCCTTGTTTACGACATGCCCGAGAAAAGGGATGTGCTTCTAGCAAAAACACACTTTTGGGCGACGCCTTGAGATCAAATCGCCGCAACCGACAATACTTTTTCAATCGCCTCCAAGTATGTTGGGAGTTCCTACTATAAATGAGGATATCACCTAGACAGGTGAGGAGGTTGTCATCCAGCCCTCCAAGTACCTTAGCCATGATGCGAGCGAAATAGCTAGCGAAAATAGAAATAGCTAGCTGGGCGTCGTTTGTCAAGGCAGACCCGTAGAGAGTTCTCTTTCTTACGCAATATCACGAGGTTAAGAACACAAGAAGTATGGGATTTTTCCACTACGCCAGCTTGCAA